CAAATTAAGGAATTATCATAATCTAAAAATGATATTAGCAAATTATTATAATAGCTAAAGGAACCAGATATATCATAAATATGTGATAATATTTTAATAAATATACAATCATTTCCTTATTAATTTCAGGAAGTAACGGTGGAAGAAGAATCAGAAAAATCAAATAAGTGGTTAGATTTTATTTATCAATTTAGAAATTAAATATATTCTGTAAAGAACATCAATCAAACAGAATAGTTTTTTTAGATTTTTAGTTAGAGAAAATAAGTTCTAGGAGTTTAGCTTGTGATTAATGTTTTGATGAGTATCCTTCATAAAATTATAAAAGTGTTAAATTTGCTCATAAATAATGGGGAATATAATGAAAAATTAAGGAAAATGTTAATCTTAATGAAAAAATATAATTAAAAATAAATAAAATTAATAAAAATTATATTAGAAATACCCATGAAAATCAAAAGTTTTTATTTATAATTAATTTAGATAGTATATAATTTTGTACAATAAAATTGTAAAATTGTATATTATTTGTTTTTCTGTCTCTTTCTCTATCATATATATGACTTTTCTATATTAAACTTAAAAATAATCTTTCTTAAAAGTTTAAAGTTAATATGTTTATTTACGTCTTTTTCTTTAACTAAAACTTAAAATTAAAATTTCAAGATATTTTCCATAAATAAATGAAAAATTTATAATGAAATTATAATATTTTTAAGACAAAAAGGAGTAAAAATAGTTTTATAATATAATCTTTGTTTTAATCATTATAATGAACAATAAATATATTAATAAGTTTAAGAGAGTGGATTTTATAATCACAAAATTTACAGCTCTATAAAAATATAATAAATTATAAGAATGCTCAAAAAGATCAAATTAGATATAATTTTCTTAGAATTGAAACTATATTTGTTTAACTGTAGAATATTAGTTAATTATTTTGGAATAAAATAAGTAAGTCATATGATTAAACCTTTGTATGGGATTCCTGTAAATATGTCAGATAATAATTCAAGATTCAGGCAACTAATAAATATTTACAACAGCTTAATTCTCCTAAAACGAATAATTTAAATTAATGGCTTAAATTAGTAATCTTCCTATTTTATATATATATCTAAAATAAGAATTAATTAATTTAGCAATTTTATGATAAAATTCTAGGATTAATAATGATACCTTGAAGTGAAACTAAAAATGAACAACAAAATTAATTTTGATTTAAATGTTTTATTGAATTTGATTCAGTTGATTCTGTTAAAATAATTTCATATATATATATTTTTATATTTAAATAAATTGTTTATTTGATAATTATCTCAATTTTTGGTTTACCTTCTTACTATAATAAATTATTCAAGGTGATTGATTTTATTATTAATTTCTTTTATTTTATAATTTTTCTTACTTTCTTTTATGTTTTTGTAATGCTTTATTTATACATTCTACTAAATCAATGATCAAATTGGTGATTAGCATAAGAGTAAAAAGTGCAATATGAATCCATCCATAATACAATTGTTAATTATAACTGAGTTGAAAACTATAAATCAAAAATGAACCTGAAATAAGGATAAAAAAAAACTCTCTGGATATTAGTTTAGCTTCTTCATATTTAGATTTTAGAGGTCTAAATTTAACTAAGTATTTTAGATAGAAAAATGAGGACATAGAGAGTAAAATTGATTATATTTCAGGATAATTAAGTGCCTCAACAATCATAAATATATAGAACATTATTCTGTATATCTAGAATGATTTTTAATTCAAAGCCCAAAATTAAGGTTAAGAATCCTAATAAAAATATTTCCATTTTAGTCTATCTTTTATATTAGTTTATGTTATTGACAGTAATGATAAACTAATAAATAAAATTAAAATTAAACAAAACATTGCATTGATGCTATTAAAAGTCATAAATAAAGAATTAAAGCTATAATTTGGAAATTACAACAAGGCACTAAAAAATAATTAATGCAATAT